AGGCCACCGACTGTGGACTGCAGACCCCCGGGCCAGGATGAGGGAGGGGTTCCAGCCAGGACACCAGGTCAGGCCCCCCCACCCCCCGTCAGCTCAGGGTTGCTCCTGTGCCTGGGAAGGAGGGACAGCACCAGGCCAGGGCTTTGCACGGCGCCCCCTGCCGGCCCTGGGCGCGGAGGACCTACGGGGTCCTCGCGAGATGGCCCGCCTGCCACGCCCCCACCCCCGGACCCCGCCCCGAATCCCAGTACCTGCTCAGAGCAGCACCTCCACTACGGCCCTGTCACCGTCACTCGCCCACGTCCCACCCCGTCCCCACACACGGAATGGCATCGGACACCCACGAGGGCCGTCGCACAGCAAGGGCCCGGGAGCTGCAGGCAGGGGAGGCCCCGAGCCCTCCCTAGAGCAGGCGGATGCGCCCACAGTGGCGCTGGAGAGGGAGGTGCTGCCCCAACGTCCGCAGCCCGGGGTCCGTGGCGGACGCAGCATTACCTGGCCCCCACGGCAGGCTGACCACTGCCTCCCTCCCAGCCCTGGGAGGCCCCCGGACCCGTGCAGAGCTGTGACCCAGACCTGAGGGTGGGTCCCTGTGTCCCCTGCCCCAACGACCCTGCACCTTGGTGCCCCATGCCCGGCCCCCTGCACACAGCCGCCCTACCTCTGGCTGACAGCTTCTTGGTGTTGATGATCTTGGCTGCATACTCGTGGCCGGTGCAGAGCTTGACACAGCGTCGGACCACAGAGAACGCCCCCCTGGGAGTCACATGGGGGAGAGATGGAGGGAGAACAATCAGTGTCCCCGTGGACACCCAGCACCCAGCCACGAGGCCAGGCCCTGGGCAGGGAGATCCGCGCAGGGAAGGCCCCACCCCAAACACCTCAGGCCCCCCACTCCGCGCCAACCCGACAGGCCTGCCCCCCCTCAGCCGGCAGGGCCTGGGCTCCTGGGGACCCCGTGGGTTGGCTGGACCGAGGGCCTCTGGGCATCCCTGGTGGTCTGTGCCGAGTCCAGGAGACCCCCAAGCGCCCCCCATGGACACAGCCTGGTGCGGCCCCTTGGGACTCACTGACTACTGTGAGGGGGCGGGCGGGGAGGAGAGGCAGGAGTCACTGGGCCACAAAGCTGGAGGGGTGGGCCCACACCCCACACCCCGCTGTCCCCAGCACGGCAGACGCCTGACGCCCACAGCACCAGTGCTTTGGAGGGAGCAGCAGGAGGCGGGAGCCTGGGGCCCACAGGAGGTCCCCCCGGTGTCCCCCTATTTCCCCCCCGGTGTCCCCCGGTGTCCCCCCCGGTGTCTGACCCGTCACCACTGTCGGTTCAGTTTCATTTCCAAGACCGTGAGCCCAGCACGCAAGACATGACGAGCAGGAAACGTCTCGGGAAGGGTCTTGGTCCAGACAGAAGCCTCAGGGACCATGGGGTGCGGGGTGTCCGGCTGAGCGCCGGGTCGGGAGCGGGGCTGGGGTTCCCCTCCGACAGGGCCCTCGGCTGAGAGTCCCACGTGCTGCCCAAGCCCAGGGCTCACGGGGCAGAGAAGAAGTGTCTTCTGGAGGGAACTTTTTTTGCTATAACTTTTTGGGACAAAACTCTGGGAAAATGTGCTAATCACTGCCTGGAAAGGGGTAAACATCACACCAAACTTATCTGGGTGTTTTCCTAGAGGTTGTTCTGACTTCGCCTTTTCAAAGCAGCCTGACGGGCAGCGCTGCCTCGGGGTGGGCGGGGCGCACGGCACGCACCCCCTCCGCCCGCACCCCCCGCCCGTGCTCTCGAGGAGAAAGAGCAGTTGGGGGGACCGTTTCATAAACCACGTGAACATGTAACCAATGCACGATGTGCCTGAAACTAATCAAACTAAATAAGTTTATTTAAAAATTAGTTAAGTGAAAAAAAAAATTAAAAGAAAAGGTGACCACGACGTGAGCCCGGGAGCGAGGGAGGCGCCGGGCAGGCCCAGGCCCCGCAGGGCGAGCTGGCGCCGCAGGCTCCCGGCAGCCCCGGGCAGCAGGTCTGGGCCTCAGTCCCCCTCCGCACCCCTGTGGCCATCGGCCCAGACCAGCCGGACCCCCTGCCCTCCCTGCGCCCAGAGAGCTGAGGGCATCACTACCTGCCCGTGCTGCCACCTGTCACACCCGGTCCCCAGACGGCCGGGACACGGAAGGTTGGGGCTTCCTAGGCCAGAGTCCAAACTCACAGCTGGCCCAGCCCCACTGGACGGTCCAAACAGATGGTGGGACAGCCCACCTGTGGGAAGCTCACGGTGAGCACCCTGCAAGGCAGCAGCAAGGCCCAGAGGCGCTGGTCCCGGAGTGGGGAGGAATGGTTCAGGAGCCGCTCCAGGGGGGTCGTCCGGCCCCTGCTCCCTGGCCTGAGCGGAAGTTCTAGCAGGAGCTCCCACCCCGACTCCCGCCTGCCACCCCGACTCTGCCGCCTGCCATCACCGCAAGGGGACGGCCGAGCCCGGAGCAGGGTCAGCCCTGGACACCCGGGCCGCACAGGGTCCCCAGCCAGTAGGACAGGACGGGGCGGCCGCTGTGAAAACTGCTCCCGCCTTTGACTACAGCGAGCTCTCCGGCGGGAAGCGGGGAGCCTCTCATGTCTCTGGTCTCGGTTTACAATCCGTGGGGACAGTGACCCCAGCAGAACAAGGACAGACAGACAGATCAACGCAGCGGAGTGGAGACCCAGGAACAGGCCCTCGCTGATACGGCCCTCATGGCGTCTTGGACAAGGGAGCAGAAGTGGTCAGTGGGGAGAAGACGGTCCTCCCAGCGGAGGGTGCGTGATCTGAGCTGGACGCATGTGTCTCGTGGAATTGATGTGTTGAATCCTGGCCCCCAGGGCGATGGTGTTAGGAGGCAGGGCCTCCCGGAGGTGACACGGTTGTGAGTGCGCAGCCTCATTCATGGGAGTGATGCCTCATTTAAGAGACCCCGGGGAGCGGGCCTTCCCCTCGGGCCCCGTGTGAGGACAGGGAAAAGCCACCTAGGAGGCGAGGCCTCGCCAGACACCGGGGCTGCCAGCGCCCTGATTTTGGACATCCGGCCTCCAGGACTGTGAGGAATAAACGTCTGTTGTTTATAAGCCGCCCAGACTGTGGCAGGCACCTGGCTGCAGCAGCTCGAAACCACCAGCCCAGTCCTGGAACCACTGGACGACCCGATGCAAAAGCAAGTCTAGACCAGGCCTCACGCCTCTCGCAAAGTTAACTCAGAGCCCGTCGCAGAGCGAACTGTGAAGTGCGACACGGCTGAAGTCCTAGGAGATGTCGCAGGAGAAAATCTAGGTGACCTTGTATTCCTCAGATGCACCGGCAAAGGCAGGAGAGTTGACAAGCCGGCTTCATCAGAACAAAAAGTCCCACCGTCGAAGACGGGGAAGAGGACAAGACAAGCCACCGGTGGCACCAAAGGCCTGCAACACGCACATCTGACAGAGCAGGGGGCCCCAACCCCGAGCTGTGGACCGGTGCCCTCCGTGGCCTGTCAGGAACCGGGCCGCACAGCAGGAGGGGAGCAGCGGGGGGCGAGGTTTCCTGGGTCTGCAGCCGCCCCCAGAGCCAGCATCGCCGCCTCAGCCCCGCCGACCATCGGGCGTTAGATTGTCACGGAAGCCCCGGTCCCTGGTGCCAGAGAGGGTGGGGACCGCTGTTAGGAAACCTGTATCTAGGATATACAAAGAGCCCCAAAAACCGACAATAAGAAAACGAAAACCAGTTCAGAATGGGCTGAAGGCCACATGCAGGTGGACGATAAGCCCCACCTCGTGCGTCCTGAAGGAAACGTGGCTAAAGCAGCGGGAGGTCCCACGGCGGGGACTGCAGCAGGGAGCCGTGTGGCCTCCTTCCCACACCCCACGTGCCCCCAGCACCCCCCACCCCCCGCTGTGGAGAGGGCGGAGGGTGGGGGCGGGGCATCCTGCACAGGCCAGAGGCATCCCGGGGGCGGACAGTCCAGGCCGTCCCTGGGGACAGGAGAGAGGACGGGACATCCTCCTCAGAGAGGCCGTGCAAGAGCTGGCCCTGCTGAGGGCTCCCTTCCCGTCCAGCCCGTCGTCCTGTGCAGCCTCCGAGGGCACTGCCGCCCGGTGTCCTGTGGACCCACCGTCCGCCTGAGTGCTGCCCGTCCACACCCGACTCCTTCTCCCCCTTTCTCTCCAGGAACCGTGGCAACAACCACCCCGGACCCTGCCCCCTAGAAGCCACGGAGGTGACCGGAGTGGTACATCTACATTAAGACCTCAGCGAGGACGGAGGTGTGGTGGGCGCTTCTGCAGGGCCAGCCAGGGCTCCCAGGAGCACGATGGCCCCATGGCTGTGGGGGGGCAGCAGGGGGCCCCCTACAGCCCACAGCTCAGCTGGCAGGGGAGGCACGTCTGGAATTTCCGCTGCCCACGCTGAGGCCACAGGCCCGTCCAGGGCCATGCACGCCCAGGGCCTCTGTCCACTGGCTGCAGGAGAGCTGGGCCAGCCAATGGCCAAGGTGGCCTCACAGCTGCTGGGCCTGACGGAGGAACCGACCCCGTATCCGAAGCCAGAGGTAAATCCGGGACAAGGGTGCTGGCTCAGGCTCCTCCTGTGGCCTCGCGTTGTCACCCGGTGGGTCCCGCCTCCCCTCCGTGAGCCACCTGCTCCTGTCCCACACCTCAGTGCGGTTCTGGCCACTTTCTCATGGGCCCATAGGAGCCACACATGGCCACAGGGCCAGGAGCAGGTTTTCCTCAGCCCCTGTGATGAACGTGGTCCCTTCGTCCACTTCTCCCTCGAATGCCCGCCACGTGGGCTCTGGGAAGACCAAGGTGGGGGGACATTGCAGAGAAGGGGGTGCAAGGCCCCCAAGCCCTGCCTGCGTCCTGAGGGCGAGGCCCGGCTGTGCTGGGGGACGCAGGTGACCGCTGGCTCCAAGACCGGCACAGGGGCTGGGGCGAGGGGCAGAGAGACACGCGGCCTCTGCACGCACCCTCCCCCGCAGGCCGCCCCCGCACAACGGTGTGGTGTCCACGAGCCACGTGCCAGGGAAACCCTTGGTGCCAGCTGAGGTCACCTCATCTGCGTGGCCAGTTACACAGTGGTCCCCAGAACTGCTTCTGACCTTTCGACCAGCTTTCTGTTGGGAAGAGCTGGCTCAGGCAGAGGGCGCTGGCCCATCCTGGACACCCCCTTGCCCAGCCCGGACATCCCCGGGTTCCCGGGTCAACGTGGGCACCACGCCAAGGGCCCCGCCCCACGCAGCAGGCGGGCTTCCGTCCCTGCCCCCGCCCTGTCTCTGCCCCCGGACCCCGGCTCCAGGCCGCGCCCTTGGACACCACACCTGCTGTCTCCACACAGGGCTGGGAGGCGGGCAGTCTGGGAAGCTGTGCGAAGGAGCCCCTCGGAAAACTGCGGTGGCCTGTCCTCTCCCGCCCGCATCTGTCCATGGCCAGCCGCCCACCACGGGTGCTGGGCCAGGTGGCCCAGGACAGTCCAGCAAAGGCGGCCGGCGGGCCTGGTTCAGCCTGGCCTGGGCACCATCCTGCTCACCCAACAGTCCCCGGATGCAGGCCGCCGCCTCCCCTCCGTGCTGGACACCGTCCTGCAGGACCAGCTGCCGGGCCAGGCCAGCGAGAGAAGGGCCACACGCAGCAGCTCAATCCTCCCTGCACAGAAGGTCCCAACAGGGGGCCACTCACGCCTTCCCGCCTCGGACTGAGGCCGCCTGGCCTGGGACACTGTGTCACCTCCAGATCCCTGTGCTCTCACAGTGACCCAGGGCCAGCGCCCCATCTCCCTTGCAGGCTCAGGGGCTGCCCTGGACGGTGACTGAGCCAGCTTCACGTGTCCACATCTGGGCTGGACCCAGCAAGGCTGGAGGGCCGAAGGTAGCCTGTGTCGCGTGACAGGGACTGACCCCGAAGGGGAGAGGCTGGCTTCACTGGTCACAGGAGTGGCTCGGGGGCTCTCTTCCCAGCCTGCGAGCCCGTACCCCGCCGGGGGCCTTCCAAGGCAGCCCGCTCATCACAGTCCGGCCACGCGGGAGTGGAGATCCGTGTCACCCCCCACGCCGCACTCACGGGGGCAAGGGGCGTGGCCACAGGAGAAGGGACGCAGGAGGACATTCCGCGGCCCCACCTGCCCCACGCGGGCTCCAAACGCCGCAGCGACCCGCCTCGCAGCTCCGCGCCAGGACCAGAGGCCGCCTGGGGCTTCCGTCCTGCATGGTGTCCGGTGTCCCTCCGATTCTGATCAGTCGGACTCTGCTCCTTGGCTTCCACTCCCAGCCGTATGCCGCTGAGACCAGCCCGCGAGCGCCCAGCCTCCCACCGGGCGAGCCTGTGGCTGTGGCAGACGCAGGCACGGGCTTCCCACAGAGCCCACCCACGGGGCGCGGGAAGCTGTCTGAGCCAACGCTCCTGGCTTACCAAGGGGACACTGAAACCGGGGATGTCGCTTGGTGGCCCAAGGCCATGCAGCCCGGCATTGCAAAGTGGGAGGAAACCGTGTGTTATGTCCTTCCGACTGTCCTTGGCAGGCCCATGCTCAGAGCACGACTCAGCGGCCACAAGGTGAGACAGCCCGGTGTCTGTGGACAGGAGGATGGACAAGCAAAATGTCTGCCCATACGACGTACTGTCATTCAGTAAAAAAGGGCATTCTGACCCCTGCCACAGCATGGATGGACCTTGGGGACAGTTAGCCAGGCACAAAAGGACTCATCCTGCGTGATCCCATCCTACGAGGTCCCCAGAGGACTCAGAGTCACTGAGACAGAAGTAGGTGCTGGGGCCGGGAGCAGGGCCGGGGTGGGGGTGAGTGTGTGGGGGGCGGAGCTTCGGTTTGGGACCGTGAGGAAGTTCCGGGGATGGACGTGGTGGGCGGCAACGTGAACGTGCCGCTACCACCGAGCTGGGCGCTGACGGCGGAGACGGCGAACCGCACGCCCGGTTCTCACCGCAGCGCGCAGGGTCCTGGCTGTGTGTGTAGCTGCGTCTCTGAGGAACCGCTGGGGGAGAGAGACAGAACCGGGGGCTTCTGACCTTCTCCTCAAAGTCAGGTGTTTAAAGAAAGCTCCTTTAGCACCACGTGACAAATCAAACTTTAACCTCTGCTGAGGAACAAGAAAATTTTAGAGCAAACAACCCAGACGGGCGGCCGTGGGCAGCTGTGCCGGCGGGCGCAGGCCCGGGGCCATCGCTCCGTGTGGGCACAGGACTGCAGCCTGGCACCAGTGGACGCCTGAGAGGACCGGACGGCCCGCTGGTTCTGAGCTGCGACCTCCTTAACAGTCAGCCCTGGCCCCCCTGGCCCAGGCCAAGATGGCAGGGAAGGCCGGTGGCCTTCACCCCCAAGAAGGGGCCCAGGTGAGGGCCCCGCACTGTGTGACTGGCCCGCAGGATGCTTCCCTCCACGGACGGGAGACCAAGGCTCTGAGACGCCCCTCCCCCAGTGCAGGGCCAGCACCGACAGCTCCCCCACCCCCCGCCGAACTGTCTCTGGCCACTGAGAAGGACCCACCTTGCAGCCGCTGTGTACGGGAGCAGACTGGGGCCGGGCCTCGCGGCCTGTGTCCAGCCGGCAGTGCCTTCAAGGACAGAGCCAGGAGCCCACAGGGGATGCAGGCTGGAAACCCTGCGTGCCCCAAGACGTGACAGCACAGGAATCTCGGCGGGGGGAGGGACCATTCCACCCGTCCCTGGGGCTGGGAGCACAGGACGCGGGGGGTAGAGTGACTGGGACTCAGGACAGCTCCACCCAGACCGAGGGTCACCCACCCCCTGTTCAGTGGGGGAGCCAGACGCCCTTCTGAGGGGCCACTGCGGACAGGAGGCACGGGAAGTTGTCCCCAAGATGGCATCCGAAAGACCCCACAGGACCCTGTAAGCGAGGGAGACAGGGACGTGGAGGGGACAAACCGGACCCGCCAAGTCCCCTGCCTGGAGGTGTTCACCGGCAAAGTGAGGGCAAGGCCCCCGGTCACAACACTAGGAAGCGCCCGGATGACACTCCCGCCAGACGGCCACTCGCGTCCGTCATGCAGGCAACTGTCCTGCTGAGCGTTCGTCCGTGTCAATCGGAACTGAAGTGTGAGGACAGACAGGTGACCGTCTTGGCCACCACGACCTGCGCCCCACATGACACCACTGTCATTAGGCCCCCACCCAGACCTGAAGGCCACCGACACTGGAACACGGGGACACTAAGCGTGGACAAGGGGAGAGGGACAGGGAGCGGGAAGGGACAGAACCCCAGCTGAGGACAAGGGAGGTGGCCAAAGGTTCTGGAAGGACAGAGCCTGGGGTTTGGGCTCCCACCGGCCCCCTCAAGCCCCTCCCATCACTGCCAATCCTGCTGACAGCCTGTCACCCTCCACCACCCTCGCCTGTCACCACACCCACTGGGACCCGCCCTCGCTGCTCCCGGGGAGCCTCAGCCTGCAGAGCCTGGCCCAGCAGAGCCAGGAGAGGCAGCCCAGGGTGGCGCGGTGCCTGGGGCCACGCCCTCCGCCGCTGGACCCTGCTGGACCAAGGCCTGCCGGCACGGTGTCCAAAGCACCGAGATCTGGGAAAACGAGAGGCGGGCTTGAGCCGGGGCAGGGGTGGTGGCCTCGCCCTCTGTGTACGTGCACACACGCGTGCCCATGTGCAACACGCACGCACATACACACACGCACACAAACCCGCTGCACCCCGCACCTCCCAGCCGGCTCTCAGTGGCTTCCGCACGGCGTGTTCGTGTGTCCCCACACGTGCGTGTCACCCCGGCGCTTCACACCACGTGGGTCACCGTGCTCCCCTCGCTGGTCGACGGACGCCGGGGTCATGTCCTCCTTGGGCCGTGGTGGATGAGGCTGCTGTGAGCCAGTGTTGTGTGGACGCACGTCCCCAGCTCCTGGACACACACCCAGGAGAGGGACACTGCGAGGGACAGCCAACTGTTTCCCACAGTGGCCGCCAGCACGTGTCACTGTGCCCGCGACGCTGTCCCGTCCCCGGGGGTGGAGCCGTGACGCGCTGTGGCTCGGATGCGTTTCGCTGGGGACCCGGGAGGCCGCACGTCTTCGCGTGCTTCCCGTTCACTCGTGTGTTCTTGGTGCAAACGGCCCTTCGGGGCCTTCGCCCGTTTTTTAATTGGGTCATTTGTCTTTTTACCGTTGGGCAGAAAAGCTTAAAATATTCTAGGTACCAGCTCCTTCCCGGTACCCGATTCGCAGCTGCTCTGTCCGTTTCCGGGGGTGTCTTTTCATGGCCTCTGAAGCACAAAAGGTTTTAATGTTAAATCCAATTTACCTATTTTCCTTTTCTTGTTGCTGCTTTTGGCGTCACATCTGAAAAAGCTCCGCTACATCCCAGTTACTCCTATGAAAAAAAACTACTCTCATGTTTCCTTCTAAGAATTGTATAGTTTTAGCTCCTAAGACCAGGGCCGGGACCCACACAGAGGTCATCTTT